CCCGGGCTGCCAGGCCAGGGCCTCCGCGCGCAGAAAAGGAAACGAGGCGATAACAAGATGCGGAAACCTAAAGCCGCAATAGCAAAGCGGGTCGTGGGTGGGGGCGAGCAAGAGGAGCGAACCCCGAGACCTGCGTTGCGCAGGGGCTGCACCCTCTGACTGGCAACTCCGGTCCTAGCTGGAGATCAGGAAGAAAGAGGAAGGAAGTGGGACAACAGGGGTCCGGGGCAGGGAATGGGGGAGTCATCGACTCCCATTGCCCCCACCTATCAGTCAGGCGAGAAGCGCAAGTTGTCATTAAAACGCCCCGCCCACACCACAAGCATCCCTGCTCACCCCCCAAAGAAGCACCGATATAACAATGTAGAGAAGTAACTGGGAGACACGAGGAAATAAACGCACGTGTTTTCTCTTTTTGTTTCCCTGGTGGTTGGAATTTGCAGAGTTCACTTCAGTTGTTGCTGCTAATTTATTCGTTTCATCGCTCGAAAGGGGCGTGCAGAGACGAATCATGGGGGGCACACCCGGGTTTCTCTAACCGGACCTACAGTTCCCACCTCATAAGTTTGTCCAAGACCAACCCGCCCGCCTATCGGGGGCGAGGAGAGGCCTTTCTTCTAAAGGGAACAAACTCTCCATCGCACAAAAGCGTCTTTTTCTCCCCCTCCTCTTTTGCACACCATCTCTCCCCGATAAGCAAGCATCAAGTTCTCCAATACTCCAACTTGCAGTTAGCAACCCTAGCGCTGTCTGGTGTACAGAAGGCGGGTAGAGAGGAGTCCCGGCTAAGAGGGGAGGATCTGCGCCCCGATTCCTGCACACGCGGGTTGGAATCCAGGTTGCTGGAAGCCGCAGGAGGCTCGAGCCTGCCAGGATGGTGGTGGTTATTTCTCTAGAGAAAAAGAGGGGGTAGAGAGCGCCTGTCTTGCACTTTGGGTCGGAAGTGCGCCGTGTGTGTGTGTGTGTGTGTGTGTGTGTGTGTGTGTGTGTACGCGCGCGCGCGCTCGTGTGTGTGTAGAGGGGGCGGGAAAGAAAGGCACCCTCCGCTGCCCGTCATTCCCTTGCACCGGCCAAGTCCTCGCCAAGCCTCCCGGTGCATCCTTCCTCCGCCACCCCCTCCCCTTCTTCCCTCAGCTGGGCTCGCGCCGCGCAGCCGAAGCAGCCAGTGAGAGCAACATCCTGGAAAGAGGGGGGAGCACAACCGCCCCCCAAAAGAGAAAAAAGGCCCCACCCTGACACGTTTTGCTGTTTGCAAGTCCCTCGCACGCCCCCCGCACCTCCTCCTCGCGCTCGAGGCCCCCCCAGCCCGCTGCGCGCACATCAAAGCGCCTCTCTGCCGCGCACAGTGGCCGCGGCTCACTAATGGGATTGCAGGCTGGTGCCTGGCTCC